CTTACAGATTCAAAAGCTTAAAATGCTACAGCTGCATCAGGAACTAACAAGTATTCTATTTTTTTGTTGCAGTGCCTGCTTTTTAAAGAAAAATGTTTAAGAGAAGCATAAGAGCAAAAAAGATACAGACTAGATATGAGGGCCAAAGGACAAAGAAGACACCAAGAAGTCACTAGACCTCTTGAAAACCAATTATAGGCCATATAACCCTTAAAACATACTCACCCCTTCTTTCTTAAATCAGTGACACGACACTCTAGGTTTCTTGAAGTAGTCAGGGTCACTCCATTTGCATTGCAATAGCTAGGAGCACCAACCTGTGCCTGTGCTGGCCCGGTCTGCACACCACGGCACACCCCCACTCCCAGGCAGTTGTGCCACGATCTGGACACAGTGCCAAGTTTTATCTCCCTGCCTACCTAGGGAGATAAATCCCAGGAAATATCACACATCTCTGCCAAGGGAAAGCCTGTGTGATGTTCTCCAAACTGGGGACTGTGACCAAACCCAAGATCCCTAGAACTCCAGCTTCACACCTTCATCATCCTCCTTGCAGTTGCTCCTGGATATCCCTGGTGGGTCTCTGCAGTTAGAGATGAGCTCACCTGCCCTGAGCCCTGCTGCATTTTGAAGGGAGACGTGCGAGGGCTGTACTATCACCTCTCACCACGAGATGGTAGGTGTTTCCTGATGGTTAGAGAGAATCAGGCTATTAATAGACCTTTGAGATAGTGAACTTCTCTGCTTCAGAAAAAGCAGAGGCAAAAGTGAATAAGGACCAAAAAAACCACCGTTTGCAGGATTGTGAATGAAGTACGGGAAGCTCACGTATATTAGGTGCAAAGACAAAAATAAATTCTCAGCTTAGACTCAAGATATTTTTACTAGTGTAAGGATTTGGGTGTCCCTTTATTATCCTAGCTCTTTCTTTTAAAGAACTTCTTAGTTATGTATTTTTTGTCATCAACAACATGAAACGTCAGAGTTTGCGGTTTTTTTGAGACAAAAAGCATTCCCAAATTAAATATTGGGTAATTTTGTAACAAACTCATAATAAAAAAAGAATAAGCAATTTCACATGAATGTGTAAAGTTGTATATACATTCCTTGCTATATATAGATACACAGAACACATTTACTATCCAAGTTACTTGCGCTGATTTTTAGCATTTAAGAATCTTGGGCAACTCTCATTACCACAATAACAAATATACATTTCCTCAAATGACCTGCCTTTGAAGTTAAGAATCATTGTTTGACAAAGGCAAAATACAGAGACCAAGCTAGTAAGTATGCCCAGCTGGTAACTGCCCCTCTGCCCCTAACAGAGGGTACAGCAAACCTTTCCCAAGGCTGTCTACTTCTCTTTGCCATCCGTTTCTATTGATTTCTCACTTTGTGGGGGTCAGTTAAGTTTCTTGTGTGATGGAGTCAGTCCCAGTCCTTGGTCAAAATACAGGCAGATGCTACCAACTGCACCTCTCAAAGTAAGTTCTTTTAGCACTGCTGATATTCAGCCGGTCTGGCCACTAGATCCATATCTTTCCTATCCACTTAAGGCCAACTGACCTTTGCCATGGAATCAAGACTAGCTGAACTCAGGGACTAGGAAAAGCACTTTTCTGTCAAAACAGGCAACAAGCTCACATCCTCATTTAACGGTACTCTGCCCTTCTGTCCAAAACTGAGCCAAAAATTAAAATTTAGAAGATATATTGAAAGCAGTTATGAATAACTAATTGCTTTGCCTTCATCGACAGAAGAACATGATCTGCTACAAAAATTACACAAGTGGGCTGCTCTTTAAGTTATTATAAATGCCATGCACTTTCTTTGACCTTGTTTAAACAATTCTTCTGTCTGACAAATAATTTCCAGCTATGTCTGACCACAAGTCAAGAGTGCTACCCTAGCTTAAAGAACCATGAGGCAGAATTTACATTTCTTTCCTCTTGCTAACAGCTTGACTTGGAACTGTGGGAGGCCTTTTGAGACAGTGAAAAATATGTAGTCTGTAGCACAAAGCACTGCCCAGGCCAAGCTGTAGCTCTCCTTTTTTCAGTACTGGTTCAGGAATAACCTTTGGTTTACAGTTTCTGTGCAAGTTATTTTGAACCAAGCATCTGGGACCATACTGACTATGCCTATCCTTTATGGTAGGTTCCAAAGGGCAGTCCCAAACCCATCCTGCATTCCTCTCCACAGATCTAAGGGAAGTGCATGCAGAGAGTAAGGCTTTCTGGACCCTGTCACCATTTTATGGGGATACCCATGGTTGTCCTCACAGGAAAACTAGGTTCTCCTGGAGCAGAGCACTGTAACTTTGTCACTGAAGAACAGTTATTAAGCTCATTTTATCTTAGATAAGCTTACAGGAATGAAATAATACAGTGGTTTGGCCAGCTTCACAGAAGTCAAAATGGGTGACAAAGGCCACTGATCATCCTGCAGGCACAGAGACAGCAGGCAAAGAACTGGAAATCCCTGAAGGGAGAGCAGGTCTTATACAGGAATAGGAGAAGGATATGATGGAACAAAAGTAATAGTCTTTTTAGTGTCCAGTATCAGACTGATTATTAATTCAGGAAAAGTTCACCCCATACAGGTTTCATACCTCTTAGTAAATCAGCTACAAGTTTCTGTTCATCATCTCATCAAAATTAACTCATTTTTCATATGGAAAAGATTTAAAAAAATGCATCTTCCTTTCTTCAACAGCAGTATGTGTTGCAAACTTAAGTGTTTTAAGGCATCATGAATTTCATATATACGGTATTTTTTACACAGAACAACTAATTGATAGTTCAGTAATTCCAAGGTGACTGGTGAGAAGGAAAACAGCGGTTTTCCTAGCTGTAATAAAAACAAATACAATAAAATCAAACATTGACAACTATATTTCTTCTAAAAATAGTACACATTGAAACAGAAGACATAATAAATTGAACACTCAGAACCAATATCTTGTGAACAGATATAAAACTAAACAAAGAGTGTGTACATCTCCATTTATGCCATACAAGGAAGAAAATAAGTATTTCAAGTATAGTAATGAGTAATCCAGTGTGTGGTGAAGTTTAAGGCTAACATTTTCAACCGTCAGAGCTGAATTTATACAGAATCCACCTATGAACTCTCAGAAGCAGCTTTATTTCCATCCAACATGAACTCTTGCATCTGACATTGACTTTTGAAGAGCTTCAAGGGATCAAACTCATCTTCACAAGACATCAGAGTTTCCTCAAAACTTTACAGATTTTACCCAGAAATCAGGAAAAGGGGTAGATTTCAGTTGAACACATTAATTCAGGAATGCCACTGCATCATTTCATATTCCCGTTCTGATTCTTAGGTGAGGATTCCAGCTCCTAGCTGGTCTGAATCTACCAAAGTACAGTATATTATAATATGTGGTATGTTATGGGAGGGAAAAGCTGTGTGCATTTGTGCCAGCACTCATCACTCAGAAGAGCAACTTAACACACAGACAGATCCTAAATCCTGCATGCAGTTAGCCCAAGGTATGGGAATTATGTTGGACAAGCTGCATTATGAGCTATTTGCACATTGGCAGTGGATGCCTCTGCAGGACCTGAAAGCAGCAGTCAGCCCAGCCACAGCAATAGTCTCCCAAAGCTGAATCTAGAGCATCTAACTCAAGATAGAAGAATATTAGCAAAAGTTATGAGCTGACAGACATCTGTTGGGAAACACCCACTCTTAGAAGAGAACCATTAAACACTTGAACTCCAACCCCAACAAGACAGAGCAGTAAAATTTTCTCCTTAAAATACAGCTAGAAAACTAGAGTTCTAAAGAGTAGCAGCTTTTTTTGAGGACTGGTTAAAAAAATTCATTACAAATTCCAGTGTTTTCTAAAAAAATTAAAAATTCAAACCTCAAATTTAGGTCAATTTCTTTACCCTGAAACAAGACTTTCAGCTTCTTGAAGTCACTAAAATAAAGCTAATTTTATGTCAGTCCAGAACAAGTGCCTGACTTGAAAATGTTAGTCTTTACTTCTAGCTCCTCTGTAACCGTATCACTCAGTATCTATAAGTAAAGTATTACTAGAGGTCCCTTTTCAAACTCTTACAGTAAGAAACTCAGCATACAGCACTAGACTTCCCTCAGCTTTGCTACTAATTCTTATTATTTCTACTCAAGAAAAGTAAACAGTGTATCAACCTGCATCCCATTCTAGTTTTGCCCCACATCTTGACCAGTGCTTGGGTATATACACCTATGTACATACTACATTGTCTGAGATGTCAGAAGAATGGTGGGAAAAAGGCCAATTTTGAAACATTTTAAATGTAAACAGTATAACTCAGACAATCAAAATCCTTTAAAAAAATCAGTCTAAACCACTGTAAGTGCTTTAATAACCATCCACCTGGGCTGTAGGTGAATTCAGCTGTTAATTTTCCATTAGAGTGGCTTTAATCAATATATAGTGCTAGTTTCACACAAGACTGCAACTGCCTTGGGTAGGACAGAAAGTAGGCCAACCCACAGAACTGTAAAGAAAACCACAGCCTGTGAAAAAAGAAGTTACAGTCAATACTAACAATACCCTGTGGTGCCAGCATCTCACACTTCAAAGTGAGAGGGATTTGATACCTGCACTCAGAGTGCACACTGTCTTTAAACCTTTGGAAAGCAATTTTAAGCATAGAGCCTTTTAATTGGTTTTTTTGGCCCCTAAAGGTTATGGCTTGAAAAGTCTCTCTGAATTTCATGATTTCTCTTAGAGTAAATATATAGCCTATGATGTAGTAGCATGTGAGTAATTATTTTGTTTAACATCTGTTGTTGTTTAATGTCTACTCTTGTTCATAGAAGAGACTTAATTTGCTCAAATCTGAAGCTGAATATTCAGTTAATTGTAACATTCAGATCCAAATTGCTGCCTGGAACACTGAGGTGTTCCTGTGCCAAAAACAGTGCCACAAAGCTTAAAAAACAACTAAAAAGGAAGAAAAAGATTCCACCTCATTTTCTACTAGGTAGAACATACAAAATTGTGCAAGGGCTACCAGTAAGACCAAGGGACTTGCCTTCTAACTGTGGCTGTCCCAGTAACAACAGTACACAACTGATATGGTGCACAATTGTTGCAGTAAAACAAGCAGTCAGGCCTTTTCATTCCTTTTCTATTTAGGAAGGCTGTGAACAGCAGCAAAGAAACTGAAGGTATTTGCAGACTGAATAACACAACCTGGATGATTCCATCCACTTTTGGAAGGTTATCTTTGCAACCCTGCGGGCATAAAGCTTACGTTATGTATTCAGTAGATAAAGCTTACACAGTATACAAACCCTCAGTACAGGCTTTCTCTCTCTTGCAAGGGAAACTTCCAGTGTATAAGTGGTAGTCAGCATTTAACACGTACAGACTAACAACTTTCTTTGACCTAGAAGTCATTCTGGTAAGTTCTGTTCCCTCTCTTGGGCCATTCCTCCTCCACCCATTTCAGCAGCACTTTTACAACATCAATTCTCTTATAAAATTTACAGAGATCAATCAGCTGTTCCACAGTCCGGTCACTATTCCGTAGCAAGAATTCCAAGGTGGGACTTTGGGGCTTTTGTTCAAGGAAACACAATTCATCATAAGTCATCCCCCACTTGCTTGCCAAATTTCTCCAGTTTTTCACTGTTGGATGGCAGGGATCCAGCTTTAGCCTCACTGTGTACAACAAGTCCTCATCATTGAGCATGTCACTGATGGTTGGTGCACGGAATAAGCACAAGGAGCAGGTGACATTTTCCTTGCAGGTTTTCTTGAGATCTGCAGTGAAAACCATTACACGGGAAGAAATTAGGATCTATTGCTGTGGTATCATCAGGAACAAAATATTGAAAGCATAACGGGTTGAGGAGTATTATGTTTCTTTGAATTCCTTTTGAAAAAGTCAGAACAGTGATATGCAATGCCTCTTCTCATTAATAACTCATTAAATTAACTTTCTAGAACTTCTCTCTTCACTACACTCTAATCAAAAGCAGGTTTAATCAAAAAGACAGTAATTTTGAAAGTACCATATTTATACTTTTCCAGAAAAGACATAGGATTCAATGCAGTGTGTGAGCTAGGACAGTCCCCTTTTTTATTTTTGGAACAACGTCTCTTCCTTGAATCTACCATAATGCCCACTTACATTACCAGCAGGATTATGTGTGCATTCTGTGCATCTTGTGTACCTGTGTTGTAGAATGAAGGAAAAGGTTTTGCATTTCTGAGCTGCTACCTTCATAACAAGATGAAATATGTGCACCAGGAGAATCTCTGCTGACAGATCCAAATACAGCTAACATCTAGTACTTAAACACAGTGAAAAAAGTAGATATATTCCATTGCTTTGTAAGGGCTCTTGCAATAAAAACTGTCCCTGTTTTACCAAGAAAGCCCATTTTAAATGTACATCATGAAAAGGAATAAAGTGCATACTCCTTCATATGAGAAAAACAAAAATACCAAGTTGCTGGAAAGAAGTGGTGATATATTCTAAAATCTGCATCAAATACTGAAAATTGCCATTTAGAAATCTCCTACACACCATCTCTCCCAAAACTGGTAACAATGTGGTGCTATCAGACTATATTATATATTAATACCCCTTAAACCACATAGAAACCAATTTGAGTCATACCTCTAGTCAAACTCTTATACCTAGACCTTTAACACTGCAACAGTGCAGGACATGGTCTGAGCATTTTGGCTGCAGATATGACCTTAACTCTCCCTGCTCCTTTTTGAAAGCAGGGAGAATCTGGTATCTCCAAATAGTGGACACAACCTAGAAGCTTTTCATAAAGTTTCTGTGCTCCAGCCTCATTGTACAGCTTGAAATAGGGAAGTAGCTAGTCTTACTTCAGACTAAACTCTATGAAAAAGGGGCTGATAGCAATCAAAAGATTGATTAAAAACAATAGAAAACAGTGACACACAATTTACAAGTGCTGTATCAGAGGCCTGAACTGTATCTCTGGCAAAGGATAAATCTGGTAGTTAATGCCACCTACTCATAAGGACAACTGCATCTGTTCAGGCTCTTTGCTTGTGAAATTTTGTGGCTCTTTCTTTTAACATCAATTATTTATTTTCAGTAATTACTGTCAGATTGTGTGAAAATTCCAGAATATAATGTCTGCATGCATGTTCTATTTTATTTTTAAAGACAGAACAGGCTATTGCTAGTTTTGTAACATTGCTCATCGGATTGTTCTTTTAGCAGGCCAAGGACAACTTCTGAAGTTTTCAACAAGTTAGGACGTGCAGCAACAACACCGCTGCAGACACAACTTATACAAATGCTTAGATGCCCTGTTAAAGGGAAACATGTTCTGGTGACATCTTAGCTCACAGGTATTCCACAGGCCTTGCAGCTGTTCTCTGCAGGAATATGTATGTTAACTCTTCTGTTCTCCTTGTGCACTCTAAACTTGCTGAAGTGAGACAAAACTTTCTTGCTTTATTCATACCAACTTTTACTTATACAAACAAGGCAACATGAATATAATATAATCCAATCAAATTTCTGGCTGAGCTTACAGGGCAGGAGAGCACTCTATCTGAACTTCATCTTATTTACTCTGGCAGGGTTGCCAGGGTAAGTTTTGTCCCCAGTAGAAACAGGGAAGAAGGGGTAAAGAAAACACCTCTGTAAAAGGGAACAGATATAAGTAAACAAAACCAAACCAACCTGCTTCTTGTGCTATACCATCTGGAAGACTATCAAAAGCATCATAAAGAATCCTGCTTGTCTAAGGTACTCCTGTGCTAGACACTGACAAACACTACCCAACTAATTGCATGATCCTAATGCTACCTGATAGGACAAGCTGCCTTACTAATAGGAAACTCTCAGTTTCTTACTGTTAGACTAAGAGAACTGTATATCATACACACACACCCCTCCCCAGCAGAACTCACTCAAATGATGGGATAAACACTCACAGCCTACTGCCAGCTTCTGCTCTCTCCTGACAGCTATTTACACATCACTTCCAAAGGCAGTGGTACTAAATGTATTTGGAAAGCCCAAGTTGCATATTTTGTATGGTCTTCATTATTGATCACCATCCTCTTAGAACAAAAGAGGAAGCTGTAAATTACACTGGTAAGGAAATGAGCTCTATAAGCACTAATTATCCAGGTAGTTATTTCTTATGACAAATAGCAGTTTTTAAAAAAGCACTTTGAAATAAAACCTAGGAATAAAATATGGAGAACAATAAAGTTGACATATTACCTGAAAGTGATTTGTCAGTATGGTTTTGTGTGTCTTTGTCTTCTGGCTACAAAGCAGAAAACAAATATAAAGTAAAAATAAAACAATGTAATTGAACATCAGAATAATATTTGACTAATTTACAACTGGCAGAAGATTACTTAAAAGAATCCCAAGCTGCTTGTGAAGTCAGATAGGGAACATACATGTAGTTTTGAGGAATTGCTAACAATCTGCAGTCTTTTCAGGCAGCATTTCCATGCTTTGGCTCATAAAACAGCCCTGTTGGTTGGAGGCACTGAACAACAGCGTTTTTATTAATGATATGCTATAGCATTGCATCTTTTGACTAACTCTCTCTTAAACACCCAAAAGTTATTTAACAATTCATATGGTTTGATTTAAAAGATTTTTAAAATGTTTTGCAATGCAAAAACCAAGAATTTTGTAACAAGCAGTAGTAAGGGATTGTTTTGTTGATCTAGGCAAAGTGGAAAATTTTTTTTACAAACTTCTTTATGTACACAGGAAGCTTTTATAGACAACAGGTGGACGTGAATATTTTTGCAGCTCACATCTAACCCTCTCTCCTATTTGAAGTTAACATTCCCTCAATTATGTTTTGTCTGCTAATTAAACATAATGAAATTACTTAGCAGCTGAGACTGTAACACACGTTGTAACATTTAAATTCTACTGGTTAGCAACCTCTAAAAACTGGAAGGACAGCCCCTTGGTTGTAGAACTGTGGGGAAACTGCAGCTGCCCTTACTTTAATTATGCAGGTGTGGAGCCAGGTGAAATAGCTTTCTTCTGTTGAGGATTTAAAGATGAAAGTAGAAGGGGATTTTCCCCTTAGATAGCTGCAATGAAGTATTGTTGATCTTTTTATATTGTGTCATTCTTCTAAAACAGCAGGCTTCTTAATTTTGCAGGTTGTGCATACAAACAAAAGTCAATATATGGGTAACAACATAGTGTAATAAGATACTTTAGTCCTACCTGCTACACCTTCTTTACTAAGAAATCCACTAAAAATAGAATACAGGCAATTTCAGTTGCTGTGGTGAACTTGCATGCATTCACAATCTAATTATAAAGAAGGTGAACTCTCTCCAAAATATTTACAGACTTCGTTAAGAGAGGAAAAATTTGCATACTGTTTTCAGTGTTTCTTTACTCCCTGAAACTGCAAGACCACACATGCAACATCAAAATGTCTGCTGTCTGCTCAAGAGAGATCTAACACTGCACATGCCAATTGCAACTGAATAAGCCCTGCCATTATCTTCTAGCAGTTTACTTTTCTACCGTGACAGCTTTATCTGGACAGTGCTTTTAAAACACAAACTTGGCCTTCATGGCAACATGTGAGCACACAAAGTTAAAAAAAAAAATTAAATCTGAAGTTCCTGATTATAGTAACTGTCTCCACTCCCACAAATGCCTTAAAAAGGCAGAATGTTATTACTGAGCCTCAAGGAACAAATTCTCAGAAGACTAACTCATTGGGGAGAACGAGGAACTTCCCAGGACAGCCCAGCCTCCCCAGAGATCTACTTCAAAAGAAACAAATAAGCAAATCAAAAGAAACAAATAAGGAAATTTAAAAAAAAAACAAAAAAAACCCAAAACAAACTAAACAAAAAAAAAAAGCACACTAAAAAACAAAAAAAAAAAAAAAAGCAGATACTGTTCACTTAACTGCTGTCCTGAACTTAATTTCTCAGACTTTATCAATTCATTGAAGTTCAAACCTTACTATGAAAGCCAATGCCTAAGTGCCTTTATATGTATACATGCCTTATGAGGCATAAAAAATACGAGTGGGTAGTACTGCAAAAAGTTCAAAGAAAAGCAGCGATACTTACCTGTGCCATGCATCTGTTTTCAAAATTCATATTTTTACTGATCAGTCATAATCCAGTTTATCAAGTCAGATGCACTCAGGTTTATTCAAGATCATTTTCTTGTAATGTAATTGCGATAAGACAATGTAGTGTTACTTCCAGGGAAATGAAGGCATTAAGCAAGAATATTTTTTGCCCACAATGAAGAGCCAATCATCCTCTACAGGTCTAATCAAAGCCATACACTTATGTCTTCAGACACACAGTCTGAAGGTAAGCAGAAAGTTTTCCAGCTCTGTGGAACCATTACTACCCTAATACACTGAATTATCTTTATAGTGATTCTAAGCTGCCAATAAATGCTTTCTTCTTGATGATGGGAAGGAACAGTTACCTCCATCATCTGTGAAATGCATACCAAACCCATGTTTGTTTCTGATGGAATTCAGCTGGGACTCTGGCATTAGGAACTCCTTTTAATTCTTCATCTTGCTGGAAAAGGCTCATTCATTTCTCTTCTCCAAGTTTTCTGCTCAACCCAAAGAGAATCAATTTGAAATTCAGCAAAAAACATTCACTTGAAAGATAATAACCATGGAGCATGGGAGTCACTCAGCATTGCCCTTCCTATGGCAATGAAAGATGTCACAAAAAGTGGACAATGTTTCATCTATGGGAAGAGCCGTGTTCCCAAAATCAAAGCAAAACCATCTAATGCCTCCCTATAGACAAAATCTAGGATTCCTTACTTCTTCACTTCTTCTCTGCCTGGCTTTATTTTCACCAGGAAATATTTTCATCAGAGGGACATGTTAAAGCATGCATGACAAAGCTTTAACACTTTGCTGGATCTTCTTCAGAACACCCATACATTGATCAAAACCTATTCAAACTAAAAAGTACATGTTAATGATAAAATCATCTCTTTTTTTGCTCTTGTCCACAAAAGCCCCCTTTATTGAACTCTTGAAAAGAAAGCAAATTTCTGGTCTGTTTTACTGAATAATTTTGTGCTCTCCAGATACAGTCTGAAAATATACTTATTTGTTAACACATTTACTGAATTAACAGCAGTAACTTAGTTCACATTCAAGTATCATTTTTCTTACCTGTTGTATTAGGCCAGAATCTGATGTGAGGGTCTTGATGTTCACAGATGCAATTTCCAAAGTAACTTGATCTGTTAGGTATTCCTCATCTAAGGCAAAGAGCGTGAAACACTGGTCTTCCACTCACACACAAATTTAAATAGTAAGACTATCAAACAGAAATTATAGTATAGGTGTCTAATATAAAAAATTTAACTCCATATCATGAGCTAACACTGGGAATTGCTAGATTAAAAGCCCAAAATGTTAAGTCAGCAGAGTCTGTAACAGTCATGCAGAGAACAAGTGTGAGAAGAAATATAATCCTTACAGAGATTAGATATTAAAGTAACAGTTGTTTTCTAAACAAACATCACACTATTTTTAAAGCAAGAGTCATGTTGTTCTTTCAGAAAGCTGACTACAGAATATTAACTAAACCAATAGAACAAAGTAGGCTGAAGATGTCACAAGTCACTACAATTTTTGTTTTGCCTTTCTCATCACACTTAAAATGACAGCTAAAATAAGTATTGCATAAATATTTATCTTATATTCTGCCCCTTTGTGAACTGGACTCATCCTAGTGATTCCTACTACACAGGAATTTGCTGAAGCACTGAAATAATCCATTTCAAACTGTGTTTATCAACAGACCTGGGAGGCCACTGAAAAGCACAGCATTCCCTAGTACAGCACAAACTCTGCTAACTTTTCAAGCATCACTTCAGCTCTCAAAATGGGATACAAAGGATACATAAACCCTTTGTGGACCTTGTGCACTCTGCATGATTAGTAAGGTCCTCCTCATCAAAATATTTGCATAATTCCCCTGAGTCCGGTGCTGACCAACCATTAACATAAGCTTAAAAAGAGTTATATTCTACATGTTTTTACACACAAGAATGCTCCATGGGGGTGACTACATTTTTAGTGTTGGTATGTTTCCATTTGTTGTTGGTTTAGTGGCAAGATCTCATTGAAGAACCTCTATTACCTTTATGAATCATCACATAACAGAAAGAAGCAATATTTTCTTAACTCACTCAAGAATCAAAGAATTCATCCTTACACTTGCAAGAAAAAGGAAACCAAAAATCACTATTCTCCTCTTTTTCTGGTTTTGTAAGACTGTTGGAAGATATTTCATCTCTAGTGATGTCAATGTTTGGTAGAGGATCATCATTATTCTTTATGACTGTACTTCCAGAGACAATGACAACAACAACAACCACCAAAAAAACACCACAAACAAACAAACAAAAACCCACCAAAAAAGCCCCCTCCAAAATAAAGTCTGTCTGAAAATGCAAAGCATGGGCATCAAACCTGTGGAAATGATATGTGTGAAATTTGTTCTATATTTGAGTGGAAATAGTATTATCAAACACTACACTAAGGCGACCTCTGCAAGATAAGAAGTTCCCTCAACTCCATTTTACCTCCCAATCAGTAAAGGGTGCCAAGAACTTTAATAAGTTATGGCTCCAAAACAGCCCATTAATTAATTGACCAATAAAAGAAACAGACAGCCCCTCTCACCAATGTACTGTCTGTTCAAACATCAAATCTGAAACAAACATAATTGTGTGTTATACAGAATCAGACTGGCACATCTGTTGCAATTTTCAGTTGACAGTCATATCTCTAAGTTTTTATTTTTTATAGAAATAACTATGAAAAGCCATTCTCAGAGAAATAATGAAATTTACAGAAATGAACAGAATACTAAGAGGTATTTGTATCACATTCAGCTTCAAAGGGGAAATGTCAAGCTATATTAGTAATTACATAATCTTAAACTTAGTAAGAGGAAGCAAAAATGAAAATTAAATATAAACCAAGTGCACTTCCTTTTTACAGAAAGTGCTGATCTTTCTACTTATGTCTTAGCTTTCCTTTTTAAATTAGGTGCATTTAGAATACGGAATTTTGGACTTTAAACAGCCCTGGCAAATTTGAAATTTCGGAACTAATCTAATTAATTTTGAGGAGGATCTAATGAAACAGGTGAAATAAAAAACAGAACGAGGAAAAGAATTTTCTAATGTAATTGCTTTGGTGCTAATAAACGATTTTGAAGGACCAAACCACCTGCCTGAAAATAAAAAGAAACTAGTTTATGACTTCAAATAGTCTTCATCCCACATGATCCTTCCCTGCTGAGCAACACTTCTGAAGAGTGCTCATTTCCTCTGCCTGGCTTTCTCAAGCCCCAGAATAATCCCCAACTTTTCTTTAACCCCAATGCTCCCACTCGTCAGCACAAGTTTCCATTGTGACAAGCCTGGTTTCCTGTGGCTGTCCCACTGCAGACCTGCTGTGCAACACAGGGTGGAGAACACACTACCTGCAGAGTGCTCCTCAAGCAAGCCCCTGCCAGTGCATTCCCTGGACAAAACTCAATGGCAAAGCCTGGGATGACAACAAAAAACCCACCCCACACATCAAGGAAACATAAGGAGGATATTCACACTGTGTAATCCATGTATTTTTCTTCAGAACCTGCACTCCCTCACTCCATTTTCAGCAAGGAGAGGCAGGAACTTGTGCAGAGTAGACCTAATAGTAGGTTCCCCAGTAGATGGTATTAACATCAGCTGAAGGTAAAAGATGGCACAAAGAGTTTGACTGATTACAAGGCAGGGAATGCAGTCAGAGGCAAAAGAACTGAAAGGTATTTCTTGATTTTATTTCTAACAACATGAAGGTACTGGTAGTCCCTTCAAAGTCACCATCTAACATTATGATTTTTCTACCATCTTTTGTCTGAACCCTGTCTTTCAATGGCACCACTGTATTTTCCTTTCAGATCAAGAACCCAGGTCTTCTGGTGATAGTTTTAGAGTGATTTTAAGATCAAACCTAAACTTGGGAAGGAAATTTCAAAAGTTAAATATACACACCAAACTGACATCAAAAATAAAGAGGGCATTACATTTAAAACACAAATATGTAGCAAAATGTATGAGTATTTTAATCTGCTGGGTAGCACCACTGGTTTTATTGCAGATAGCAACAGATCAATGATATCTGAACAGACAGAATTCACAATACCTACCTTTAGGTACTCCTGTGTCTTGGACAGGATATTTTTCTGTCTGTCACAAAAAGGCAAGAAACACAATGTTTATTATTTTGAGTGCAATTGTGCTGGGGAAGGAAAGAGTATTTATATGTTCTTTAATTATTACTTAATTTTGTAAGTGCATAATTATAATTGTATCTCTCAAGTTGCTACTAGTTGATCTGTTCACCATCAGATACAGCAACACTCTTCTGTGGGAAACTGAGATGCTACTAACACTGCTGATTAGCACTTGAAGAAGCAATAAAGATGGCTCCTTTGTGACAGTATTTTTAAAGCTATTTTTAGTGAAAAAGCAGAGTTCAGAAAAAGAAATTTTGTACTGAAGTAGCAACGTAATCCTGACAAGGTAAGGCATGCCAGGAGGAACAGACATGACTACAAATTCTCTTTTAGCAGATTAAGCTTTTAATAAAATATTACTGCATTGAAATAAAAGGAAATATTTTCCCCTTCTGCTCTAAATTTACATAGCTGATTAAGAAGCAATAGGAAGCTATTATTACTGAGTTTAAGGAGACAGCTACTGATTCCTGGGCATGACACAACTTATTATTTTATCTGACATTTACCTCCTTCCCTATGGCCCTCGCCCTTACGTGAAAGTAGGTGTGGCTTTTACAGAAAGCCACATTTTAAAATGTTTTCACAGAATTTCCTATTACTCCCACCTGGGCAGGAGCCTGGGATGTTTGAGATCCCGACACAAGCGGTGCTCGTGAGCCAGCGCGCACCAGAGGGCGCGGTCTGGTCCCTCCCAGGCTCAGCTGGGCCTGTCTAAGGCACCGCTCTTGGATCCTACCTTTCCATGACTTCAAATCAGCTACAGGAAGTAATAATAGCTTAGTAGTGTTAAAATTTTAAGCCCTAACTGGGTTATTTTATCCATTCAAACTATGTAGACAGAAGAATGTCAGCACTAATTTTTCTCAGTTGCTGGGGCTTTTTTAAATTAGAGATGTCACTGCCACAGCCTTTGGAGGTTATCCATGGGCAGCTCTGCTGATAATACCACCCAGTTCAGCTGAAGCACCTGTTGGTAGTTTTAGTTACACTTTGACTGCATAGATTAATTTATTAAGGTTTTTTGTGCAGTCATACAGATAAGCAAAATCTTGTATATACACTCACAGTGTGAGTTAGCATCTCACTGTTTTTTTCTCACTGTGGCATCACGTAATCATAGAGAGCTAGACCAGAAACACACACCATTGTTAAGGAAAGAGTGCTCGGATCCGTATCCTCCACTGGCTCTTTTGCTGCATGATCTGCTGGAAAAAAGAAAACTTATCACTGCATAGTCATTAAAGTATTTCTGCCAATTCATATTTTGCTTCTTTGCTTGACTAAGGTAAAACAGAACTATACAGCCATTACATAAATTATGTCATATTTCTACAAGAAAACATGACAAACTGAAAAATGTCAGAACTACTAACACAGACATTAGAAACTAGAAACTAGATGTAATAAGGAGATCCAACTCTAACCTAACAAAAGATAGACTTCAAGTAAAATCTCAAAATATCTTTAGTGAAAAAAAATCACAAAACATGACAGCAAAAAATACTAAAATAAAGTAAATTTTCTAAAAGCTAAGTCCTGTTCTCCTATTGACAGCATTGAAATTTTTCCTCAAAGAAATAATTCAAACAGGAAGCTAACATACCCACTACAACAAAAATTAATACTGGAATGAACACCAGATTACAATAGAAAATTGAAAACACTAATTAAAAATATTTGAGCAAAATGTTTATTATTTGTATACAACAGAACAGTAAAATTCAACTATATTAATATCAAGAGAATCAAAACATGTATCTTCAAAGTACCTGCAGGTGAATCAGAAAATGTTAACCCCTCTGCATCAATGGCTGAATTGACAAATACTAGTGGGATACTGACCACAAGTACACTGAGAATGTGAAACAAATCTCATATAGAAGACAGGATTCACAAAATTATTCCTATAATTTAATATCATCCTGACATATTTTTCAGAAATCTCTTCTGTTGATAAGAATAAATGTTTTCAAAAATTGAAAAACATTTTAAATTATGTGGTAAGATCTTTCTTCTTGTCACTCTTACTCTAAAAGTCACTGCAAGTAACATTAAGTTTTCAGCTGCAACAAGTAAGACATGATTGTAATCAGTATTTGGTGATTACCTTCTTTGGAATATAAAAACCAGTAGAATTAGAATAGAGTCACAGAAATGAACTACAAAGCACACATTATAAACACTGAGCCCCAAAACAGAACAGAAGTTTCACAGACAATATTCCAATCAGCTCAAATTTAGCATAGTTGCTTATTTGGAGACCCACTCCTACAAATCCACTCAATACAACAGAACAAGCTGAAGCAATAACCAATGCAAGACAGCACAATAAACTGAAAATAAAAAAAGGTGACAGCAGTAGGACAGAGTTGTTCTCTCTCCTCCTTCTGTGAGGCAGCCCCACCAGCAGCAGTTCCTGGGTGTCCCTGAGATTCCAGGTAAAGCCTTTCTCAGTGCTACAGCCCCCAGGAAATCCACAGGCATTGTCCAGGCAGGTGGCACATGATCAGAGGGGCAGATGACAAAGGCTGAGCAGAGTCTTTGCACATTGCAAGTGTAAAAAAGACAGGGGCCTATGAAACTGCAGTTGAGCATTGTTCACACTGCAAATTAGGAAGCCATATGCAGAAGAAGAAAACCAAAAAAAACTAACTAACTAAACCCCTATGTTCTTGTCACATGTCTTTTTTTTGGTACATATGAAATCCCTGCTCCAGAAACATGGTATTAACAAAATGTTCTGGATAAAGCCTGCTCTGATAGCAAGTCAGCACAAACTCTCAAATGCAGAGAAGTTGATAGTCACTGGGACATGGGAAAATACAATAAGCTGGCATAAGACATTGCTTGAGGGTAGGGCCAAAAATAGAGGCTTCTAGTGGGAACTGCAGTGGAAAGCTTCAGAGGAACTGGGCAAAGAGAAGACCACCCAGTAAAGGAGAGCTTAAAAACAAGGAGGCACTGGGAGCCAAAGAAAGGCTCTAGGGAAGAAGGCCAGCCCAGGCATCCCTAGTCTCACTGTTTTTCCACTCAAAGCCAGTGGCAAAGCATGCACCTTATTGTTGGTTTATTGTGGAGGCCTTTCAGCTCCTCCTTACAGATTCTTAGTATAATTAAAACAAAAAAAAAAAAAAAAAAAACCCAAAAAAAAGCAACCAGCCAAACAAAAAAAAAAAACAACCCCCAGAACTTCCTTTTTCCCATGTAAGAGAAGCCTTGAGGCAGGTGAAGGCAGACCCCACAGAACATCCATGCTTTGGTGAACCTCACTTAGCTATGTAAGGGCTCGGTCCTCTATTCTCTGTTGTTACATCTTCATGATGCCACCAAGGCACATTTTAACACTTGTAACTTACTTTCCACAATCCAAAGGGAAGCACTGAAAAATTGGAGAAGCTCAGAGAATACAGGCATTTGAAACAAGGATTTGACAGACCCACGTGTGGGTGGTCAAGAGGTGATGGGGTACAAGGGTGGTACCTCTCAATCCTGCTTTCTACGTCTTACACATAAACATTCAGTCATGGGAATCTGCACCTTTCTTGCTTAGCATCCATCCTGAACATTTTAAAATTGTATTTCATTTCCTATACCTCAATTGCTTCCATTTATTTAATAGTTCTTTATGAAGAATAGTAATTTCCATTGTTTTGTTTAGGTTGCAGAGTACTACCAAGTCCTCAGTTTTTTTCTAAGTGGCATGTATGTGTGTGAATATTTGCACCTAAGATTAAAGGCTCCACATTTTGGGCTGCAGATGATTCATCAGGGTCTTGTTGACCACTCATAGCAGGCAGATAATCTGAAAACCACAGACCTGGTATTTTATTGTGAATAAGGTAATTTGAATGTCCTTTCTCTCTTTCCCACACATATCTGCCCCAGCATTCCACAGCTCATTTCATAGAGCTGTACTGGTGAACAAAGCACTAGAGAGGAAAGTTCTGTGTTTATCTCAGATGTAAACCATCCACAGTTTTTCATGCTGAAAGGCCAACAGAAACTGAAGGTATCATCTGACTGACTGTCTGATTTCATGGTTACTTTGACAGACAGCTTCATAACAACATTACCTGGGATCCCTCACAAAATCACTACGACTGTACTCGCCCCAACAGGATACAGACAATGGACCACATTTACTTCCCCACACTTCTGCAGGGAGCCACAAGTGAGTTGACTCAGATGGACATAAATCAGCATGTGCACATTGACTAGGACAGACATAAATCAGGCTCAGTCGTTGCTCCTCAGATTCATTTCTGCCACACAGCACCTGCATACAGCTGTGCCAGGGCCCATCCAAGAAGAGCAGCAGACTTGCACCAATGCCCACCTTTCATTCTGCCCAATAGTGCTGCTATAATGGGATGCAATGCTCTGCACTCACCAGTGCAGTTTTTCTGCTTTTCACCCTTGCATTGGAAGGAAGTCTGAAAGCAAGTTTCAGAGCCCTCAGGATTTTGACTTTTAAGCAGGAGGGGGTTCACAAAACACCAAGCAGCAGAGACAGTGTTCTCTGTTACAGTTTTACTCTGCAACGAAGTCTTGACTGTGTTGTGAGTAGTGAGTGAAGCATCTAAGATCGGCTGTAGTTACATAGTTCAACCATTCATGTAAGACCTTTTCCACACCAAGGCTAGGCAAACACATTAATAACTTAACTTAGCACAACTTAAGTAATCAGTCTAATACTAATGTTGCTCATAGAGATGAACTCTTTGACTAAACACAAATAAAAATGTTGCTTTGACTAGAGGCACATGAATTTTAGATTTGAATAGGAGGAGAGGATATGGCAAATTATACTAGAATATTCAGTACCCTGAAAAGCTCAGGTCCATCAGCACTTGTGCATTTTTGTTTACTGTCAACTACTCAAAACTTTGTCCCTGTCTGAGCAGACAGCCATGGAAAAATCTGTGATGCTGCACACCGCAGCTGAGGTGCTTAAAAGTCATTTGCACCATTACCATTACTATGTAAGCTAATGCACGTGGACTTCATAGCCACCCGAGCTCTGGACTTCTAAGAAATCGTATTTTAAAAGGTATTTTGAACATGCTGCTAACTAGCGCAAACTAACGTACACGCTAAATACTGGAGCAGGCTTGACAAGACAAGTTACACTAAATCACACCAGCAGAGCACATGATAAATTATTACCATACTTAACTGGCGCGTGTGGAGGGGGAAGGGAGAAACTTAAAAACTTTTCAGCCCGGCCGGGTCTGCGCTCCTCGCCTGGCTCCCAGGAGCCGCGGTCCCGGGTCTGCCCGGCTCGGGATGGGCGCCGCGGGCCGCACCCCGCGCATCGCCTGTCCCGGCCTGCCGGGGGCCCCGGCAGCGGCCGCCACCCCTCGGGGCATCCCCGCCCTCCCACCCGGCTCCCCCCGGCGCCGGCCTCACCTGGGGGCAGCGGGTCCTGCGGAGCGGCCATGGGGCGCGGCGGGTCCCGGGGCGAGGAACGCGACGTGCCCGGAACCGCCGCCCCGCCGCGCCGCCCCCTTCCTGCGCCGCCCCGCCGCAGGTAGGGCGCTCCCGGCAGGGATGGAGCAGGCAGCTCGGTCCCACCCATGGCCGTCGAAAGCGCGTCCGCCAGGAGCCCGCATTTCCCAGCGGGAAATAGCGCGGGTAGGTCGGGTTAAATCCTCCGAGCGGGAGGTGCTCTCTGAGTGAAAACGCGGTGTTTCGCTAGAGCACAGACACGGGCTGCACGTACCGCTCGTCAAGTAGTGCTACTTCGGATCTAAAAGTGAGCTACTTCAGCAATATGAAATCAAGTGCTCGCTGTCCTGTTCTTGCGGACATTTACGAGCCTAAATCACCGCCTTCCGACAGAGAAAGGTGGTCTCCGTTAGGGCTTAAGGTGCAGTCACAGGTGGCTCAACGTGTACGGACAGAGTTTACAAACGCAAGTACTGCAAAGCAACAATTATAAACTGCACTGGTTCCTCACAGATATTCAGAATTTGTCCTCTTATGCTACAGGCAGATCCGATACCATGAAGAAGTCAAATCTTTGGATGCAATTGCTTTGGAACCCGACTGTCATCTCTGGCAAATTCTCTCACTTATGGTTTCCATGTAAAGTAATACAGGCTTCTTAAATGGGGTCTGTGCATGAAATCGAGCTCTAAATAAGAGATTTTGTGTATTGCTATTTAGTGTACAATACAAGCAAAAGAAGCCAGCACAACTGAATTTACCATTATAAAGATCACTTTTGTGAGCCACCTGGTTTGTTTTTTAAAGAGGTAAATTTACAAACAGAATCTGTTCTGTTACACTGAGAGAGCTCCAGTTCAGCCAACTGGCTTACACTGGCATAACTAAAAGTAGCTTTTGGTCCATTAAGCATTACAATTGAGTGCTTTTCCATGGATTATTTTTCATCTCTTGTGCATGTCATAAATAATAATTTTTTTAAGTGATACAGATTAAATTGCTCTTATTTCCACAATTTAAATTGATGACGGTAGCTGTCATCCTGTTGTCATGAACAAGTATTTCTCACACTGCAGCCTGGAAAGGGCAGGGTGGGGATGTGGAATGCACCACCACACCTGTAATTTGTTTTTTAGCTAACATCAGTAATATTGATGTTTTTCGATTATTTTCTTACTGAATCTCATCTGAGATAAATGGGTTATACACACAAACATACATATCTCTATATATCTTAATCTCCAAGGTGCAGCTAACAGATCACTAAGATTTCTGCAACTCATTATGTGCAAAAACAAAGAAATTTTTTTTTAGATCTATCATTGGAGTCCTACTGTTCAAGGGGTCAGTTGCCTCTCATTTCTTCCACATTCCTATTAAAACTCATTCTCAAAAAATAAGGGCTTACTTTAAAAAGGTAACAGCAAATGAAATTAGAACTAAAACTGCTGATTCTGTGTGTTTCCCTTGATTTCCTTAGCAGCACAAGGGTTTTGGTGATGGATGATTAGGCTGAAAGCAGAAGTGTATTCTTACCTACACAGCTCTGCACAAATGCTATACTAATTATTGGAGTCTCTTTTATAACTGCGAGGAATTATACAGCCACAGTAGAGTTAAGAATATTCTAGACTCATCGAGCCTGTCAAATTTATGCTTCAATTAAATGAATGCCATGTCTACCCTGAGGACTTCCCATGTAGGTATTGCCTCTGTGTGCTGTTCAAAAATTACTGAACTTTACCCCAAAAGTAAACACAGTGACTGCAAAAACTTGGGGGAAAGATATTTACAACCTACATAAAAATGTATCCATTGATTTCCTTCAAAATATCCTCGTGTACTATTGTCACACAGATGGCTGTAAACAACAGAAGGCTACAAAACACCGGTGCTGGGGGCTAAGTCAGGTTTTACAATCAACATGGCATTTACTCTTCTCATAACTTACAATCTGTAATCTTCCTACATGAGGATTAAAAAAAATTATTTCAGTAAGCAGTGACAAAGTTTTTTTTAGTGGAACAACACTTGTTCCAGCAGCCAAAATTGGCTAATGTTGCTCAAAATCATGTATTTTAAGAATATAAATATTTATACCAGTAAATTAGATTAGCTTTTCAATTTGAAGCAGATTTTTTTAAAAATTATTTACAGAGAACTCTTTAAAATAATGAAATTTAATAATAGAAATGAATAGTCTAGATAATATTACTGCTTTAAAACTAAGGTTAGTAATCATAATTTAGCAGTTTTTCCATAGTACTGAAGGAGGAGACTGCAATTACTTACAAATATCTCTAGAGTACTGATAACAGTACAGATTAAATTGGCTGTTGTATGCCTGTTCTTGTACCAGTCTTTAATGAGTGTTGTAGAAGTCTTTTTTACTTAGCCAACTGAATAGTGCAGAAAGCCAGCAACTAGTTTGGCAAAACAAAACACAATCATATCATAAAAGTTAAGTCCAGAATGGGAACTTTAAGCAATGGCATTCCATAGAACGCTGGATTAATCTTACCAACACATTTCTAAACCTAAGTACTATCTGTACCTTATCTTGCTATAACCCTATAAGCTACTAAATCCAGCATAGCTAATTATAATGGGAAGAGTTCAGAATTTTGTCAATTTCCCTTCAAATGCAGAATTAGTAATTTCAAATAGTTTTCACAAATCAAGTCTGTGCAGATCTCCTCTCACTCCTTTCCTCTTGGCCCCATCAAAAAACCCAGCCATATTTGATGACAGAGGCTTTTCTCAAAGATCTACAAACTATCTGGTAATATAGAGCTGGAGAATTTTTTGTTTGAAATAGCAATTAACACAGTCTCAAGGGGCTTCCAACCTTCTGAGCATAAGACTGCAGACAAAACCAAGGGCAATATATTCCTCTCCAGAAAAATATACATCACCACAACAAAAAGAAAAACAAAACCATACACATACAAGACTCCCCCCACCCAAAAAAAACCAACTAAACCAAAAAAAAAAAAAAAAACCAAAAAAAAAAAACAAAACATTTTTTCCAGTTTATCCTCTGTAGCTTTTCCACGTGGAAATAAAGAGTTTTTGTTCCAGATCACAAAAGCTACTATAACACAGGGGATCAGTAATATTCCCCATACCTTGACACAGGTTGCCAATAGTCATGGTAACTGTGGGCCTGCCAAAATCACACGGCAACCTTATTTATTCTTCCTCATCTGTTTGCTTTCTACATTTCAAATATCTTCACTTAAGGAAATTCACATTGAGTAAAATGTCTCTGTGTCAACATAAACTCTTCACCTCTCCTGTATTTCAGGAGATTTAGGAAGAAACCTCCCGGCATTTTCTCTCCCAGTATCTTATAGATATTTTTTAATTGTCAGCAGCTTCAGACTGCTGCTAGAAAAGTTCTTGAAAATTCTGAGACTGCTTTGGAGAAGGGATAATTAACCAGCAGCTAAAAAAGTTAAAATTACTTTCTTTGTCAATAATGATATTGGTCTGCTCTTTATACTTCTTTTACAGGAACGTCACGATTTTGACATTTAATTGACAGAAACAGCAATATATGGAGAAAACATAAGAAATTACACATACCTAGACCATCTTATGTAAGCCTGTGGGAAATTTGTTTGCCTGGCAGGACTGCATGATATGGAAATGTTCCCACCACTCCAGGAGCTGTGCTGTGTCCAAGTCAAACACACCCCACAGAAACAGTGAAACCTTGCTTTCTCTAGATTGACATGTTGAAACTGAGCCTAATACGATTGATTTCAGGCTGCAGCTTTTGCCTCTGCAGGGACATTAGCCCCCCTGCCTGACTCCTTGCTCCATAAATGTACAATTTAGATGAGATCTATACCTCATGGTCAGATTTGCTGACAGATAAGCATGCACACTGAAAGAGCAAGTGCACAAATCTTAGGTGCTTTTTTAAACAAGATTATGTATTTTCATCACACCCACTATACTCAGAAGTTTGACAGAGCTACTAGAGTCATTCCTGTGTTGGCACTCCTTCTTAAAAAAAATATAGGTATTACAGGAATGACAATAAAACCCTGTACATTACTTCTACTTGACATCTACATTTCACTCAGATCATGCTGTTACAGAATACACAAAGCACTTTGTTAACATCCAGCTGTAACACGCACACGTGAAACATAGAAATGAGAATATAGGTGTACAGTTAAGATTTGTAGTTAGTTTTTCACCACCTACAAAAATTTCCTAAAAGTGCACTTCCTCCCTGTAGTTTGCAATTCTTTATTTTTTACTGAATTCTATCTTTCTTGCTTTTTTCCTCAAAGTCACTGTGAAAATATTGCTGTATTTTCTTACTAAAAGTTTACCTTTTTTACCACTGCACTGAATTTTACAGTATTGTTTTGCCATTTGCAGGCCACACTCCTGAGACAACCCTAGACATCCATAGGTACTTTTCAAAAGATACTTGCACCCGTTGCTGCAGACTTGAGCATTGGTTGTGGTTTTAAGGCAGACATCAGTAGGTGTGGAACAAGATGTCAGTGAGGCATGACTTGCAAGGAAACATAACTTGTATAAGGCCTAATGACAGCAGCACAGAACAGGGTGTACAAGCTCTTCACAGTAGAAGGCCTGACAGACCACAGAACTTGTGCCCTGGCCTTGGCTGCTTTCTGTACTTATGTCAGATGGTTTACTGAAAGTTCTCACCCACAGCTGTGCCTTGCTGTATCATTTAAATCTAGACTACCACAAGATGTTCCACTGCTCAACAGGCACTGCCCTCCCACTGCTGCCGTTTGCCCAACTTAAACACAAGTTTGTGACATATTGATTCCCCTGGTTTACTTTCCTAAGTTTAGGAAGGACTCATTCAAAAGTTAATTTGGAAAAATCAATAAAGGCAAAAAATAAATAAAGAAAAATAAATAAAGGCAAAAGTTTCAAGGGCAAACAGTTTCAAAATAAAAATCCACATTTCAGATTACTGAAATCCAGCTCATGAACTTGAAAAAGCAGCTAGGATTTATCAAGTTACTCCTAATGGGAAATGTGAAA